TGGACCGTGACACGTGCCCCCGTCGCTAGGCGAACAGTGACGATGTCACCCAACCGCGCTTTCGCGCCTCAGCATACAGCTGACTGCCTTCTATCGTGGAACGTCGAGTTTGATTGTCCGACGCCCCAGAATCGATGAGGATCTCTCATGGCTTCTCGAAGCCCTTTACGGTCGCCTCCACGACCAACAAGCCCGGCTTGCATACACGTTCCATGATCAAGAGCACGGAGCTCTTCGGGGCTGGGCCCTGCTGACCAATGCCCTCTTGAGGCTCAACAGAACTCAGTTCTTCCCCAGTAGGACGCCCCGCGCCTACTGAGTGGTGTCAGTTCCCCGCGACCGAACCAGACTGGTAGGCGTTGGGGCGATAGTTCGAAGAACCTTGGCGCGCCGTGCGCAGGGGGCAACCGTTCCGCAGATAACGGATGGCTCCACAGACAAAACACCGTCGTGTATTTGCATGATGCCCAGCAGCTCGGAGCTCTGCACCCTCGTCCTCAGCATAGCTGAGATCCATGGGCATTGACCCGCTCGACGAGCTATTGGAGTGTGCATTCCAACCAAGTCGTGCCGACTTGAAACTGAATTCGGCATTCAATGCCACATTCACCGCTTATTCAGAAGAGGACGGATGCACACGGAAGACTTTCATTCTGGCCACGCCAACGCGGAGGCCCTCCATAAAGACGGTCACTGTGACCGCCTCCGGGAGGGGATCTGTGCCGTCCCGGCAATGAGAATTCGCATCTCTAGGACAAAGTCCATCAATTCCTTGTTGCCCTATCGGGCGGCAAGGAAACGCGTACGCCGGATTAGGCTGCGAGAACACTCGTGAGAGCTGCAATTTCAGCTCCGCCCAGGAGGGAAACGCAGTTTCGACCGAAGTGCCGCACGTCAGTGCCCATTCTCACGTTCGACCACCGAGCTTTGGGATAGCTAGCGCTACGCGCTGTTGCTTGGTCTGAAGCATAGCGGATGCGATGGCCATCTCGACCACTCTCACCCAGGGCAGGAGATTCTCTCCATCCTGCCCCTCGAAGTCCTTAGCGCTCACCATGAGCGGCTTAGGGCGGGAAGATCATCCGTCACTGAGGGTGGCGTCATAGACGCAAATGATGCATACATCTTCTTCTGTAAGGGCTCTAGCAGCGCGTTTTCGTAATTTGAAAACGCCTCTAGACGCGCACCGATTACCACAGGACCTTGCGCAGCAAGGTGCTGCACGCCTTCAGGGCACACGAGAACTTAAACCCGTCCTGCATGCCCTAGGGCAAAGAGGAGATTGTTCCATCCTCACAAAGGATCAGTCTAAACGACTCAGGTGTAGATTGACTACAAAGTGCTACCAAGTTCAACGGGGCTGCCGTAGCCTTGCGCTTGGGGGAAGCTTAATTTAGGTCACCGACCTTGCGTTCTTCACAAGAACCAGTACGAGTGTAGCGGATTGCAACCCGCTGCCTTCAAGAGTAGTAAGAACCCTGATCCGAGGCTAATAAACTCTTCTGTCTAAAATGTAGACTATATTTAGCTGTTTTATTTGCGGCAAAGCCGCCTGATTTTAAAGTATAGATTTTCTTAAATATATATAGTAAAATCCAAATAAATGCATAACTACTGGCTACCCAGCCACGTATCCAAGCAGTCCTGAACCGTATAGCTGCTCCAAAGAAGAAGGTAGTACTAGTATGTTATGCCTGTAAATATTACAACGTATAGTCGAAAGTCTTTCTAACTCGTAGCGGGAAGAATTGTAAGTTGAGATGGTTTTACCGCAGAAAATTTTGGCTCGCTGATCATTTATCGTGAGCTGTCTTCAGATTTATTTATTCGCATATCTACCGTGGACGAAAACTCGATGATTCAAGTTAGCCTCGATTTGGGCGACCGAACGTGAGACTATGCAGCGTGAACAATACATTATCAAAATTTCCGTAAGCCTTGTAGACTACATGCCGAATATATTCGGGCGTTATGCTGATGAATCAAATTTTTCTCACCTTATACAAGAGAATGTTGATACGTTGTGTTACGAATCAGAAAACCCTCGGTAATGTCACCACCCAAGTAATTCATTTGTAAGCGTCAACAACCATTTTACCGTAGTGTTTAAAAGGCTCAGAATCGTGTGATCGCTCAAGTCCAATTCAGATTCACTCAAAAGAAAATGGGCAAAATTGAGATTATTGATGCATCATTGTTCGTGTTATACAAAACAAAACTTTAAAACGTCATAACAGGGCCACAATAGAAAGTCTTTACTTGCGTCGACTGTGTGTGGCACTTAATAACGCAATCACACCAACCAGATAATTAGATTGAGTTTAATTATAGAGGATGACGACAACTTCGGAGAGAAATTGCAAGTGTAGTGTTATGTGGCTACACACGAACGTGCGACTTGACCGCTTTCGAAGAGTTTCAGCTGTGCATCTGCTTTGGTGAGTCGAAACGAAAATGATAAAATGTCACTTTTGTGAAGATGAGAGATTGATGGCGATAACTGAGATTTGCGTGGTTAATGAAGTCAGCCTTATCGCTGTTTTTCGTAAAGACATTCGATGGCCTTCGAATTGCGCATTTGTCATTTCAGAGTTGCGTTCCGTCTTGTGATGTACGTATACTGCGACGGGTTGGCCGTGTAATTTGTGTAAGTAAGCTTTAGGCTCAAAGTTCCATCTTAACTTATGCACAGAAAATTGGTTTGTACGCTTTAATCAGAAGCGGAAAGGACAGCCTCTAAAATAAATAAGAACTCAATTGCTCTTCCATTGCAAGTGCGACATATATTCGTGTCAATCTCATTGAGCCGATACCAAATAGACATGATCCGCTATTCTCAAATTTTAGCTTTTTGTACTGCATGCCGTGAGTCTAACAGCTCACGTTAAACAGGTATCAAATAAAGTGAATTTAATAATACGATATTCACATTACACTTGATGAATTTATTGCTATTCATAAGCTCTGAAGATTACAGAATTCCGGTGAGGAGAGGAGAGGTCTAAGATGTAGGATAGTTGCTAGCCGCTCGTCAAAAATGTAGACTGCTTCATTATGAGAGATAGTACAGCTTATATTTTGAGTACATGTCTACATGTAACTGATCCTATGTATATGATGTCTTGAAATAAAAAGAAAAAAGAATAACATTAACTCATGTCAGAAGTTCTCGACTCTTCTGGTGAGAGTGAACGAACGAAACTTTTGCGCGTGTATCAATATGGACTCTGAAAGTCAATGACTTCTCGGTGCAACGTTCACGGCAACCATGTCTCACTTGGTAGCACTTATAGTTGAAGACCGTATTATCTGCAAGAATTGCGCATGAAACGCGCTATTTATCAAACAAACGAAGTTTGTACTAAATAGCAGACGATTTCAAGGTACATAATCTTACATTGTCTATAAATGTATCTGACGTCAAGTTGAGTACTTCATATTCCACTTCTAACAATCAAGTGCTGCTTCCTGACATAAACATCCATCTGACAGTCAATAGCTGCGTTTCAAATGAGTGTTGAATATACGAGCAACCCTGGTATATTTCTTCTGAAGCAAGCTTCGTACAAAAATCGTATATATGCGAGGTCGTTGCAGTGGCTCGAAACAACGATTAGACGGTCGGTTAATACTTTGAAAGTGGTATCAATAATGCGCCGTCCGCAAGGGCATCTCGTTGGCAGCGAATTTTTTTACTACCAAACCAACGGCGCCTAACTAGAGAATGATTTATGCTTCCGGAACCCACATGCTAAGACTAAGTTTTCTCTAGCGCAGGATACTGGTAGCTTTTCAACCCAGTTTTTCATCAGATTTCTTATCCCTCATTACAGAGTGAGGCCTTTTGGTGCGTGGGGCGTTCAGCCCATCGAACTATCACACATCCATTCGGGCGCGGGTTGGCAAAGGCACTCACACTTTTTGAATGTGATTACTCCTCCAATTTAGTGGCCTGTCTCCGGCTGCCTTGATTCGGACCCTATGCTAATCGGACCAAATACCGCCCGGTTTTAGGTCAAACGACTAAACAGCGTCGATGCTTGTACTGGAAAAGTGACACTATTGCGAAAGAATCTTGCATAGCAAAAAAATGATCTGGGAACTGGCTGCCAAGGGACCAAAAGCTGGAAGTGTATAGCTGGAGGTGCTTACCAGCATAAAAAGTAATGCTGGTGAATCTTGTCCAGGCGGGCCCAAACGGGCTCTTGTGATGGACAGATGAATCCAACCGTAGGATTACTGATGTGTAGCATCCAGGTCTTTGAATGCCAGGGCATATAGCATCCACCAATTTAAATGCGTAAAGCTGAGATAGCCATCAATCTGGTCTTGCTTAAAAGGAGTTACAGCGTGTCGCGCTTGCGCTTTTAAGTAAGGAGGTGGGGCTCAAAAATGGGCACTTGCGTGCAATACCTCGAAAAGAGGCGCCTTCAACATGGGACGATTTGGAGCAGCAAATGTCGCAGGTGTTCGCACCGGCAAACCAGCTTTTCGGGTATTAGTCCTCCAGTCAAGGCTAGCGGACAGTCTTGTAACGAAGAACTCTCATCGTCGCAATAGCGTCTGGTTCATCTCTCGGAGGTAGTTACGGTTACCATTCATCCCGAACGAATGCGGCTCGCACCCAAGGAGTGGTGAGAGTCGCATTCAGTGCAAAGACAAATTTTGTGCTGCGAGAGCAGAACGAGGTGCTGATAATTTAAGCATTACAAGTATGCCAGAGACGATGGCTCTGAGCCACGCTGAGAAAAAAAGGCTTTCAGACTGAGAAGCTCCGCGGTACCCGCATGTACTTTGTTTGCTATGGCTCATATCGTCTGCGCCATGCACCCCCCTTGGCTTTCGACTGAGATGTACAAAGGGTCTAACTCCCACACAAGGACGAACGACGAACATCTCACGAGGAAATCTCATGTCCCAGTAGGCGCAGGGTGGCCAGGCCAACTAGTACAGAACTGAGTTTTTTTGTATTTATTAAGGTCGTGGTCAATTGGTTCCAGCCATGAAGGATCAAATTTCTGTAAGCTCGCATCCCAGGGTTTGGGGTTGTTGTAATCCCAGACATTTTAAGCCGTGAGAACGTATAAAATACAGGAGTTTCGTGCAATGACGTACGACATGCGGATGTAGCCAGTATGAAAGCTATTCACTGTGCCATATACAAATACGATGTCTGTACGTCTTGCAATGGAAGCAGTGATAAAAGTGTTAAATTGGACATTACAGTGAAGTTTGAGGTTTTTGACAAACGCGAAATGTTTGCTAGTCCAGAGCCTAGATTCGAGATACGATCTCATTCGAGAAATGGCGCAGCAAGCACACCACGAGCCATTGCTCGACGACTAGTAGTCAAGACCCCTGCCAGAAAACAGAGCACTTCTGGTGTGGACAAAAATCCGCGATAGCTTCCGTACAGGACATGAAATTGTTCGAACTTGACATCAATAGCATGACTAGAAGTCTCGAGCAAAGCTCGCAAGGCTGAAGCGGCTGTGAGCCGAGGTATCACTTGAGAAGGTAAAGGGGGATGGTATATTGCGGTTTCCATAGTGTAATTCTGTCGAGATTAGAAAGGACATCAATATGTCGAAAATCTCAGGCCGTATGTCTGGCGGGGTGGTAAAACAAGCTGTAAGCCGTTGTCTCATGTGCCAGCGCCGATGGAGCGTGTAATCTTCCTACCAGAGCTGTTGACGATGAAGGGTGACTGTGAGTCGCAAGTTGAATGTCCAGACACTAAAGTTCAGAGAAATGGTTGGTTCATGACACGATATGACGGTACTGTCACTTCAGCAAGCACGAGCCTATGCGGAGAAACTGGTACTGACTATACAAATCGATTTGAAGAAACTCAAATGTTCAGAATGTTAAAAATACACGTTTAAGGCGCAAATAACAATTGTTATAACGGTGAGCTTGAACTCGAGCTTGATGACCGTAAGAACGATGGAGTTGTGGATCATAAAATTTATGATCAATCCGACGCAAGACGTAAAAAACAAATTCTTGAATCGACCAAAGCGTGAAATGGTTCTGGCGCTGTAGCTTGTTGGATATAGTGTACAAGATTGATATCAACTTTGGTTGAAATGAACGGTACAATGACCGTAGTGCATCATTGACATTTAAGTTAAAACATTGAATTGACCGAGTCACGTTCTTGATATAAGTATGAAATCTTTTCTTTCAGTCAAGCGACGAGATTTCCTTGCGTCGCTCAATCAAATCTACTAGAGCATGTATGATTGGAAGATCTTCAAAAGTCCATCAGGATTTTCAATGTGTACCCAGTGACCAGATTTTTCTAATAAATGATGATAAACGTGCTTTTCCCGCAGCGCGTCGAGACGATGGAGAATATTGGGGGTCCACATATTGTTGTTCGAAGCATGCACAACGTGGATTTCTACGTCATTGCGCTTTATTGCATCTAAATGCTCAATGAAAGGCCAAAGATCTGTCGCTAGAAATGATTGAAATAAATCCTTGACGACATCAGCATTCATCTTCCATTCGTAAAGTTCTGGACTTTTGCTTATGCGCCGCAAGTTTGACGTAAGCCACTGTGCTTCATCGAACGCAATACCATGTTCCTGTAACCCCTTGATTAGCTCAGCTTTTGAGCGAATAGGTCCTGAGAATTTCTTGAGGACAAATAATATCGTTTCAATCAAGTCAAGAAGGTCTCGACTTGCAAAGTCATTTTCACCTGCATCATACATTTAGCATAAGACTGATTTCATGTCAAAAAGTGTCTCATGTACCTGTGCCTGGAAGCGTGTCCAAGGCCCATACTTGTCTAGGAAGCGCACAACAACCATTCTGTATGCATTGTTGTAGGTACATGAGTGCTACTTTGCCACCAAACGAATGCCCTA